AAAAATGTCTGATTTACAGTCATTGAGGTGCACATTGTATTGATACAGATAAAAACAGCCCCCCTCAATCATATCTAGGGACACTCCTTCAATCTTATTTAAGTATTTAGTTAGGATCCCTACTAAATGAGTGCATGAAAGCTTTTTAACTAGTAAAATTAAAGATTTTACTCATTACGGGTATATGGCCCCCAGAATATAGGTTTTTGAAAAAAAATAGCGACCAAGATTCTGCATTTTCTCTGTCACCCTGAGCATTAAGGAATGTGGGGTAGTGATGAGAAACAGTTAAAGAACATATGCTGAAGAGATGGCATCATCAAAATGTATGAAGGTGGAGTATTTGAGGACGATTTTTGCATACCTATATTCTGGGGGCCGTAGTTTTTGATTTTTTGCTATTAAGTATACTCTAAACCATTTCAATTTAGTATCTGGAGCCATTGGCATCATCAATACAGTCTCAGCAACATATTCTGACTGCATATAACTGTCTGTGACAATTTTAGAACAACTTAGGAACAGATGTTTGGACCTATATTCTGGGGGCCCTGTTAAAAAATGGTATTTTTACAGGTGAAAAAAAAGTACACTTAAAAACCTAATAATTATTTTCAACTACCCAAGAAACATTTAAAGGGTTATTATGTACATATTTACAGCCCTAAACATGCTTAGAAGTAGTTTTAACACCTGTTTCTAAGTGCTCAAAAAACGACCTATATTCTGGGGGCCATATACCCGTAAATAGGTAATTGCACTGCCTTTTACTGTGTAGCTTTGCTATACACAAAGTATACACAATATGGAATTTTCGGTCAGTACTCTTCACGAAATGGAGAAACAGATTGAGGACTTATCAGACTCGGTTTTAGCGAAAACTTAATTGCAGGAAACTAGAGGACCTCACTCATGACTTGTTCAAGCCAAAAGGCGTGACAAAGGATGTAATAACCGAAATAGTTTTGGAGATGGGGTCTATGATATGTAAATCGAGAACTGTTTTGAGATCAGCAGCAGAGACGCTTGACCAACAGAAATCAGAACAGATAAAAACTCAGAACGAGCTCATCCAATGCAAATATGGTAAACTAGCTTCAGTGAAGGAGACAGTTAAAACAGAAATGAAACTGTTTACAGATGTTGTGAAGAATAACAGCGTAGCTAATGATATCTCTCCAGCTAAAATCAAAATGGCTGTGAAATCGGCGATTACAGAAGATGATCGGTCGAAAAACTTTATCATCTTCGGGGCCCCAGAACAGCTCGAATGTGAAGAGCAAGAAATGAACGAACGGGATCTCGTGGGTGATATTTGGGGTTTTATGAAGTTAATTGGAAGGCCGACTATAACAAACATTGAGAGAGTGGGAGTAAAGAAATCTGACAGCCCTCGGTCACGGCCGATAAAAGTTACTTTGCGAGATCCTTTGTAGCGCGATGCACTACTGGGTCGCGCGCGCGCATCCAATAATGCTTCTCGCAACCACACGTATGCAGATCGTATGCAGATCGGCGAGATGCGAAGGATTGACATCGTGAATCAACGAGATCCTGAAATTGTACGTGAATTTCTGAGCAGAGCTAAAGTCTTGAAATCGGTTGATGTGGCAGACTACAATTTCAACTACAACAAACTCTACTTATCTCCAGACAGGTCGCAGGCTGAGCGAATCTCTCGCCAAAAGCTCGTACAGGAAATGAAAGAGGGAATCAAGAAGGAACCGAGCAAGAAATATTACATAAAAAACAACAAAGTTTGTGTCGCTGAGTGACTAATTATTTGAGAAAGTCAAGCATTTGTGTATGTGTGTGACGTTAATTTCATGGATTTAAAACTTTTTGTATAACTGAGAACAGAGGTTAGAGGAACTACTGATAACAGTATGATTAGACTGAATTGCGTTATCAGTTGACTTTTTGCATCACTCTTCTAGATTATACGTAATTGGGTAACTTAGTTATAGAGTAGGATTTTAGTTGTTGCAAGCATTGCAGTAAGGTTTTAAGTTAGGCAAGTAGGCCACGAACTGTTGAGCAAACTGCAGTTCTTGTCTTGAGGCTATTTTACAATGTTTTATAACATGTGCTTGCAACTAGATCTTGAATGTCGCGTGCCCTACAGGGATTTGATTTATTCATACAATTTATTATATATTTGGTTCCAAAGCCCTTATGGGTACCAGCAAAAATCTGGTTTTCAAACAAACACACAAATAACAGTTCCCCAGGGGGTAATTTAAAACAATTTAGATTTTGAGTTATCTTAAAATCTTCAGAAAAGCTTGTCATTTTGGGACCATCAAAAGTTTGCAACTTTAACTTTTGCAAATTTTTGTATTCTGATAATTGGATGAGTCTTGAGTTGTGTCACTTGTAGGTTTGTAACCTACAGGACGCGCGCCAAGTTGGACTCGTCGACGCGCGGCATGGAACAAATATTTTATACTAGTATTACCCGTCAACTAGTATCACCCGTTAATGTTTCACGTGCTTAATATAGCTGCTTGGATCAAGCTTAATATATTGTCGCGCGCGAACTCAAGCTGTTTCATGCTTGTTTAAAGTTAAACCGAGCGTGCTAAATCAAAATTGTTCTAAAAGGGCCCCAACAGTTGAAATCAGCTTCAATCGATGAATTTTCGGACGCTGATTTCGAATCACCCCCCTTGACATAGGAGTAAAATGCTCCCCCTGACGAGATATTGGCGAAAAGCTGTCTTGATCACGTGATATGACCGTATAATGAAGTTAGTCTAATTTTTGTTAGGGTTAGGCTTTCAGCAAATGCTTTTGCTATTAACGGGTGATACTCGTAAAATATTTGTTCCATATATTGTCGTCGACGAGTCCAACTCTGAACTCGACGCGCGTCCTAGTAGGTTGTAAACTTACAATTTTGCTACAGATTGTGGATTGGGTTAGGGTTAGCGTTTGCTCTAACCAGAGCCCTTTCGCTTACAATAGCAGGCGACAACCGAAGGCGTCACGCATGCAGTACGCGTATTGTCATACGTTGTATGACCCGCCGCGCACGAAGTGCGCGGCTCCCCCTGTATCGTCAGAACGATAAAGTGAAACGACATAGTGAAACGACCGTGGGGGTCGCAACGTGATACAACAAAATACGCGCTGAATAAAAGTCCACCCCAGGAGTCCACCCCACGCGCGTAGGGTGCTAATACTATTGCTAATAACACTTGTGTTGAGTGTTATTGTGACAGGTGTAAAAGTGGTACTACCATCACTGCAGTCCTGCTACTTCTCATAGCAGTTATCTACTCGCTCGTGATGTAAAATAATCGTCTCACTTCCATCATAACTTCGGTTATAAAATTAAATATTTTGTATAATCAGAGGCCACTTTTTACTTGCATAAACTACATAAGTACTGGACTAATGTTGTAATATGGTATTTAGAGATATCTTTTAGGATATCTTAGTTTTAGTATAACGTTTACGGGACGTAGTATTTAGTATGTGTTTCCGGGTATATAATAACCAATGTTTTTATATGTTCGTATTTGGGAGTTACACATTTTGAGTGTAAGTCGGTTGGCTGGCAGACCTGCTGTCAGACCTAATGTCTGAAACGAGCCGTCCGCTCACTTTGCACCTGACTTACAGCCAGACCTGTGGTTGGTCCTCGCGGACGCAGGGTGACTGCTAGTGGAGTGCTCATTGGCGAGACTGCGTGTCACGTGGTACAAGCAGATGCGTTGTGCCGTCACGCAGTGTGGCGTGACGTGTTTTGAGAGTATACCCGGAGAGCCGGATGTGAAGAGCTCACTTCTTAGTTGCCCCTTAATCATTTTAAGGGATTCAAATTGACGGTAGCCAGTCTTGCTGAGCACTACCATTAGTGATTAGACACGTCGAGTGATCTATAATCATGTCAATTGATTAGAGCGAACACTTGGAAGTTTTTATCTGTTGACGTTCACTTTGTATTACTTTTCCTTTATATTTAATTAGATCCCTTTTAGTTACTCGTTTCATTTCTACTATTCGGTACGCCCTGCCGTTCGTGCTACGTGACTAGAGCTTGACTAGCATACACTAAATACCAAGGAACTCCGTTTTCTATACTAATATTAGGATAGGGCTTTCTTTTGATATAATTTAAAAGAGTTTACAATGGTATATACTTAAGTATCATCCAATTTTCTTTTAAGATCAAGTTTGGAAGTTTTACGGTGAATCTTTACTTATAATTCAGAGAATTATTTTTGTTGTATGTATGTACGACCGCCCACGTGCAAATTAGATGAAAAATATGAATTTAGGTAACAACCAAAAGATTCCATAGCAACGGTGTTTTAATGCACACATGCACGTGCAAAGATTGTTTTAACGTCATTCTGATCGGTTTTGTGGTAATTACGTTGAGTTTAAAGTGTTTTATATTTAAATCGGCTGTATCTTCGGTTGAGATGGATATTTTTTGATGCGATTAAAAATTTCTTTCAAAGAATACTACTAGCTTCGTCCCTGTTACCACGGGCTTTCTAGTATTCCTATAAAATTGATCTTTGCACCTTGAAGTTTCACAAGTTGTTCACTAAGAATTTGAGAGTTTGAGAACCAGTTCAATTCAATTTTAATTTTATTACTAGGTGGAGGTGTTGTTATTGAGACTTTGGGCGGCCAAAAACTCCTGTTCTGAAAGTTGTCCTCTGTACTTGTTTCACTGACCCACGCTTTTTAGCATTTATACATTTCGGCCCATTTTATATGTTTGTTTGAATCGCTGAACATTTTTATACTTGCTATTTTGTAAAAGTTTCAAATAAAAATCACAGGTAAACCTCAAAATTTAGCGCGCAATATCTCAGGAGCGCAAGGTCAGATTTTGATCTGCAGTTTTTTTCTTCTTGTTTGTCTCCAGCAGCTATTATATTAAAATATATGAAAACTAGAAAAGTGCCATTAACCCCCCCCCCCCCTCTGGCCTTAAAGAACTCCAGTTGTATCACCACTTTTTGATCAATTGAACTTCCATAGTTTTAGTGATTCTAAGGAGTAAGGACCCATTGAAGAGCATTTAATCATTTCAATCATAGTATGAAATTTCGAATTTAAAATGAATAAGACCAATTTTCTTAATTTTAATTTCAATGTACACTGTAGTATAGTATAGTTCCTTCTACATTGTGAGTTATTAACATGTATATCCGACTGCTATCCATCTCACATTCCAAAGCCATTTCTTTGCCTCTTGTGCATCTATGTCCCATCCCTGATCACTATGGAGATAGACCACAAAGCTCTTATTGTGCAAATAAAATGCTGTTCCAACTCCAAGTTCATAGCCATGGCTTTTCTTTCCTCCTATTGATGTTGTTATTGTAGGAACTTTGAAGAATCCACATAAGCTGATGTCGACTATCAATTTAATTTTGTGCGAACTGACTCGGACCCAAACTGTCTCGGCCTCGGTTCTCGGCCCTGAAAATGTTGTATAAGGACAAGTGACGAATGTATAGAAACCATTGATTACACATGTACATTGTATAAATTAGAGGTCTCGATTGCCTAGGTATCAAAAAAAATACGATCGCCTAGGTATCAAACCTTGGCAATCGGTAATAATCCTCTGGTACAGATTCAGCTGACCCTACTGCTACTCTAGTAGCAGGGCATAGTTGAATGTGCACTTCGATGTACACGATTTCTGACGAAATCGTTTGGCCATTCAGACCCAAAATTATTTAGGTACGAAATTTGTATCGCTAGACCAAACCCTAATGGGCACATTTTCTAAAATACCCTCAGTCTCGTATATGGGATTTTTTCCCGATCCATGACTCAAAAAGGCACAAAAGAGTCAAGGATAAGGGTTATATTAGCGAATGAGGTTTTTTTTGTATATTACTATTAGGACGCAATGAAACTACCGGACCACAATGTATGGCCATGGGGACTTGCCACCCCATGGCAACATTAAAATATATCGACTCTGTTTATACATCGATTCCTCAAATTATTTGTTATATAGTTATAGTGTTGAAAGTATTAAAATATGGTAGCTTTGAGACCGTCGTGCGTGCCTGCGCCTGCCTGCCTGCGTACATGCCTGCGCGCACACAACTTAGCGGAGTTTCTCACTCCGCAAAATATTCTGAAATTTGAATTAAATTATTATAGGTGCCGATCGACTAAATCGTTAATTTCACCGTGTACGTATCCAACTAGGCACTAACTGATAGCATATTATTTTGAATTAGTATTAATATAACACACATAACCCCGGCATGCGCAGGGATTATATTTCAATTTTTCCCGCGACGCGCGGGAGAAGTTTATAATAATTTCGAGTGCGAAGCACGAGGGATTATTATGAAAATAACCCCGACGTGCTTTAGCACGAGGGGTTATTTTAATATAACTTAAGCGTGCCGGTGTTATGTGTTATAAACCCCTCCGGGTTAGTGCTAGGACCAACAAATTTGACATTTTACTCTTAAATATAGCTATATGAGATCATTATGGAAAATATGAAATGGAATTGGGGACTACCAAATAAATACAACTAAGGTACTATGACTTTTGAAATTGGCGTTATATCTAAACATTATTCCTCAGTCAGAACGTTGAATGAATATGAATATCGATAAGGGGCGTCGAGTTAAGCCTGGCAAGCGATAAAAGCTAATAATGATATCGTGTCATGAAGTTTATCAAAGTAGACGACTATAATACATGGCTTATATCAAACACGACAAAATTAACCGAACCGGACAAAATCAAATGTAACCGTCGAGACAAGTTTTGGAACTGGTCCAATTAATGTAAGAGTTTAAATAATGTAAGCAGTGTGCTGGAGTTTTGCCAGCGCCTGCAATTAGACCGATACGTAGATCGAGTGTATTTATAGTTCTTACGTTAAGCCATAGGTCACGTGACATTTTTTACCAATGCGCGTCGTAGTAGTTAGTCACGTGATACACGTCATCAAAACACGTGACAGTACGCGGTTGAAATTCTCATGGAATGTCAAAACAAAACAAATCTTGTTGAGCCAAATTAGCGGGGCGGGATTATAAAAGCTGTGCCGGGGTTATTTATTCAGCGGGAAAAAACTAACAGCGGGAGCCGGGATTATCAGAATCTATTTAGCGGGAGCCGGGATTATCAGAATCTTATTCTATCCCGGAGGGGTTTATAATAGTAAATTACCATTTTGCACAGATCCGTGTCATATCAGGTTGCATAAACAATAAACATATGGTTAGTATTACATAGAAATGTATACGATTTTCAAATTTAATATGGAATTAACTGGGCGGTGCTCGGCTGGTATCACTCCGCCATATCTGCATGCGTATAAAGTATTTTAAACAGTGGGGTCCCCAGGTTGTATGTAATATATTATGATAAAATACGCCATCACGGATTGGGAAATTGAGCGGCCAACCACGAAAGAAAAGCGGCCGCATTTCTTGTTGTATTTTGGCGCCTGAAGGTCGTGGAGACTTCAGTTTTAGTTTAAAACAACCGCAAAAGCCATATTTATATACATGAAGTTATGAAGCAACATAAGGTCTCCAGTGCTTTGTTTTATAGATAAACAAAAAAATATTTTGTGGCTCGCAGTGAACCAAAAATGGCACTGGATTTTGGTAACTTGAACTAGAAAGGTCGTAGAGACTATTTCTTCGTCAAAATTCTCTCGAAATCGATTTTATAGTTGTTTCTGATAGAGGGGAGTGATATCTATCAGCTGTAGTAAATGGGGTATAAAAGTAGAGTGGGTAAATAGTAAAGGGGGTAAATAGTAAAGGGGCCGGTAAATAGTAAAGGGGGTAAATAGTAAAGGGGGTAAATAGTATTGTGAATATAAGAGGCACGGTCATGCTTGCCAGCATTGTGATTATTATAGATGTTATAGTAGCCAGTATCCCAACTATTATATTATTAAGAAAATAATCTTCTCATTTTAACAGTCGATGTTGAAAATTATTATTGATACATTTTAGATAACCATGCCAAGAATCGACTGATAGTGATCGTATAATTAGCTGTGGACAGTGGAATGCGTGGCTCTTGTAGCTATAATGCCAATGTTAGCCACATCAGCTCGGAATAAAGATAGCTAAGTTAGTAATATAAATATAAAACAAATACTTGAAGTTCCAGCACAGACTCTAGCACATTTGGGATTTCCTTCAGGCTTCGTTTCCTCGCTGCTCAGTATGATAACCGGACTGGGAAAATCAAGAGTTACCGTCATTTGTAATCATAAAGTTACAGCGGGTAATAGCGGGGAGGTGGTGCATCATGCATGCTTGTTCTAACCTGGTTAATTGGCAGATGATTGGTTAATCGATAACACGTTCAATGTTCCTTACTGCTTACAAACTCGCGCAATTCCAATTCCACCTCTCCGCTAAATTACCATTTATCAACAGTATGAGACAATCAGCCGCAGATGTCGAATTCAATCTTTATTTTCCGCCGATAAATAAGATATTCACTGCTCAAAAAAAGTAGTCGCAGTTACATGTGTCATATTGAGAATAAATTCTATACTTTTGACTTTTCTCGTTCTCGAGTTGAGTATATAATTATAGGACGGTCCAAAAGTCACTGAAATAATGAGTGAATAAGTTGAAATAGAGGCTTATTTATATTGAAATTGTATAGCTCGAGTCGGTCTCTAATGGTTCATTCGGATTCCGGATTATACTTGGTGATATGAAATATAAGTGTTACGCATATTTTTGGAGTTCTTGCTGTCCAGACTATATAATATAATTATATGATGACAGGGATATCCAACATTGAACATAATGTTTCGGTTAAGCAAGGATTTGGTTATATGACAAAGCGACTCTCGAATTCTTTTACTTAGATTCGTACAATCGGGATTTTTCACCGGTGCAATTTCAAATTCAGGTCTCTCCTTTAGTATTATGCAGCTTAATTATACAGCTGTTTCCCAATGTAGAATTTCGGTGTCGTGAAGAATGATACTTACTGATACTGATAGCGCAGTGATAATTTAACATAAAATAACAGTGTTGTACAATGTACAGGGGTAGTTTGCATTTTTGTTGTCCTAGTAAGTATCTGGAAGACTAATGATAAACATGAACAGTATTTTTACCTTGGTTTGTTATTCATGTCGCGTCTGATAGCCGAGTTACTGTCCCTTATTGTTGCCTCAGTTCTCATAACCTTTGTTTCCAGCGCAATTAATTCGTTTCTTGTTACTCTGTTGGCTTCTTCTTTCTTCATCGAAGCTACGTCATCCTGCATAGACGTCATACCATTCTTAAGTAAGGTTGCATCACTGATCACCTGTTTAATATTTTCATTATTGGCTTCAATATTTCCCTTGTTGACTCCTATACTTTCCTTATTGACTTCAACATTTTCATTGTTGATTTCAATATTTCCCTTGTTGACTCCTATACTTTCCTTGTTGATTTCAATATTTCCCTTGTTGACTCCTATACTTTCCTTATTGACTTCAACATTTTCATTGTTGATTTCAATATTTCCCTTGTTGACTCCTATACTTTCCTTGTTGATTTCAATATTTCCCTTGTTGACTCCTATACTTTCCTTATTGACTTCAACATTTTCATTGTTGATTTCAATATTTCCCTTGATGATTTCAATACTTTCCTTATTGATTTCAATATTTCCCTTGTTGACTCCTATACTTTCCTTATTGACTTCAACATTTTCATTGTTGATTTCAATATTTCCCTTGATGACTTCAATACTTTCCTTATTGACTTCAACATTTTCATTGTTGATTTCAATATTTCCCTTGTTGACTTCAATACTTTCCTTATTGACTTCAACATTTTCATTGTTGATTTCAATATTTCCCTTGTTGACTCCTATACTTTCCTTGTTGATTTCAATATTTCCCTTGTTGACTCCTATACTTTCCTTGTTGACTTCAATGTTTTCTTGGATTTCATCAATCTTCCTTTCCACATCATCCCTGACCATTGCCAACTGTTCAGTTAACAAATTTTTCATCTCTTCACTTTCTTCTCTTGCCTTCTTCGCCGATTCAATTTCATTGGCCAATGACAACTCCATTTCGGCGAGTCTCTCCATAGTTTCATCTTGTTCCATCACTTCATTGCTGTTTGTCTGTATAGTCGGTAATTTTACTTTCTGCTTCTTATTTTTTTTATTTCTTTTCTTTTTCTCTTCATTCTTGACCGCTGACTCGATTTCATTGGACAGCGATAACTTTGTCTGTTTACTTTCTTCTATTACCCTCTTCGCCATATCAATTTCATGGGCCATTGACAATTTCATTTGCTCCATTTCAAGTTTAAGACTTTTAAGCTCGCCCATAGTAACTTCGGCGGAGTCCGGTCCCTGAAGGATTAAAATTCATTATGCATTACATCCGTCAGAAATCATTAACTGATTGGCTGGGTCGAGATTCCAATATCATACTTGTACACGCTACTAGTACTACGTGAAGGCATTGACTTGTTCATATCGCAAATTAAATATACTTTTACAGTCCAACCTTTATATACCGGGCTTCTTGTGGGAAGCGAAAAGTGCAAAGTGTACAGTATAGAAAAACAGGTAAAGTTAGGTTCACAATCACATGATCAATAGATGTGGATACTGGCGGGGAGGTGATCATTATTTGTTTACATTAATAGTGAGCACATGTTAAGCAGGCTGAGGAGGTGATCATTGTTTGTTTACATTTTAGGTCAAGCACATGTTAAGCAGGCTGATGAGTTGATACATATTTTGTATTATAGAAGGCTTGTAACACTTGTAACGCCTTCTTGTTACCCCCCTTTGAGGGCCCAGAATTATTTTCTGAACGAAAGCTAAAAAATAACCGAGAAATCGACCTTCTTATTAACTTATTTTGAGGACAGTTTCTAACCTAAAATTGCACGAAAAATCGATTTAGCTAGGTTTCAGAACCTATAAACACTTCCTTATCCCTCAAAATCGATCTTTTATAGTTTAGAATGCGAGCAAAAATCAATATATATTTTGATCCTTCGGTTCTACAGCTCTTGACCTAGGGCTGAAACCGAAAGATCGAGGCAATCCTCACCTTAACTGATCGAACTTGAGCGAAGAGCAGAGTACGACAAAACACAGCAGGTAAGCAACTCATTTTGGTTACTGTTCCTCACCTGTACAACGTTGCACGAGAAATCGATTTAAGTTGGTTTTACAGCCCAATAACGCTTCCTTATTCCTCAAAATTGTTGTGTTACTCAAACAAAGAACATGTTGATTCTGCAACGAAAGAACAAGGAGATTGTGCCATTAACAACTCGAACAGGTTCTATCACAATTTTCAGAGCAGAGCACGATATAGCAAAAGTCAAAAGAAACACAATAAATGTAGGTAACCAACACCATGATATAACAATCATAATAACAACTGAATTATATTTATTCGGACGACGGGCAGCCCTGATGTGCTCCGTGATCCCGACCAATAGTAATAGAGGTGTTCTGTCACGTGACGCTGATCCGTCCAATCACAAACAGGAAGAGTGAGCAGAGGGACATTATATCGTATGTTTACCTTTCTTATCTGTATTTGACCCTTTGTTCACATTGTTATCTCTACCACAGCTTGGCAATTTCAAGGTGCTCCTATCTGCAGACTGCACCTCGGTACACACGCCATGATTACGTCATACAGAACTAGAAATTGTGTCAACCGTGATCATTACAACGTAACCGTGCCCACTGCCCATGTACAATGCAAACTGTTGGGGGGGGGGGGGGGGGGGGGGGGGTTGTTTACGATAGTCAAACAATCTTGATAGTGTGTTGGTCTCTCCCCCAACTGACTGTGGTGCTTATCGTCCATTCAGGAACAGAACATTAACATAATTTTTTTAGTTATTTAAGTAGACCTGGTGCCTGGTCAAAGAAGCGCAGGAGTTGAAAGATGCTTCACACTTTACTGAAAAATATATCTGTTGCTGTTTTTACAAAGGAACACCACACGACATGGACATCCATCAAGAGATAACTTTCAACTGTTGGGAAGGTTCCAAAACTTTATGAAGTGCATTTTGCACTGTTGCCAGCATAGATGTGCGGAAATAAGATTTGCACGAAAAAAATGGTGATTATGTATTTACCCACCGTAACTGAATAGGTTTTTCAACCCGTGCTTAGAAGCCAAGTGACTTTTGTAACGATTGTTATCAAAGAACTGGACGGGGATCTCGCACTTTGTGCACCAAAACGGCATATTTAGATTCTAAGACTTTGAGGAAATTAAATTCATGTCGATACATACACAGTTAATTTCTTTTGACTTTTGCTATATCGTGCTCTGCTCTGAAAATTGTGATAGAACCTGTTCGAGTTGTTAATGAGACAATCTCCTTGTTCTTTCGTTGCAGAATCATCATGTTCTTTGTTTGAGTAACACAACAATTTTGAGGAATAAGGAAGCGTTATTGGGCTGTAAAACCAACTTAAATCGATTTCTCGTGCAATGTTGTACAGGTGAGGAACAGTCACCAAAATGAGTTGCTTACCTGCTGTGTTTTGTCGTACTCTGCTCTTCGCTCAAGTTCGATCAGTTAAGGTGAGGATTGCCTCGATCTTTCGGTTTCAGCCCTAGGTCAAGAGCTGTAGAACCGAAGGATCAAAATATATATTGCTTGTTGCTCGCATTCTAAACTATAAAAGATCGATCGGGATAAGGAAGTGTTTATAGGTTCTGAAACCTAGCTAAATCGATTTTTCGTGCAATTTTAGGTTAGAAACGGTCCTCAAAATAAGTTAATAAGAAGGTCGATTTCTCGGTTATTTTTTAGCTTTCGTTCAGAAAATAATTCGGGGCCCTCAAAGGGGGGTAACAAGAAGGCGTTACAAGTGTTTCAAGCCTTCTATAATACAAAATATGTATCAACTCATCAGCCTGCTTAACATGTGCTCGACCTAAAATGTAAACAAACAATGATCACCTCCTCAGCCTGCTTAACATGTGCTCACTATTAATGTAAACAAACAATGATCACCTCCCCGCCAGTATCCACATCTATGATCCCAGTATATGTAGCCTTTCAAATAACCTGTCAAGCGTCTCATAGGCATATACCTCATTAGGGGCTTGTGATTGAATACAGCTCAGGGACAAAAGGAAATCGTGGCATGTACGGAATCGCGATTTTTCCCATTATTTGCGACAAATTTTATGTATAATTTAATGTATAGTCTGTTAAAAATCGCAGTATCGCGAATTTTGGCCAAAATAATCGCGAAATCCTTTTGTCCCTGATACAGCTCGACATGCTGCATGCACCACGATATGCGCTGTATTAAACATATATCTTTCGCAAAACGAGCTAACTAAAAGTTTGCGGGAAAATAAAGGTACGGTATATCGAGGCACCCGGTACAGAAAGGTACGGTATATAGCGGTTGGACTGTTCTTAGAGGACGTGTTCATTGTTCGCCGGGAAACGTCTTGATTTTAAAATTAAATGGAACGGGAAGAAGCGAACCGTGGATAGGAAAAGTATAACTTTGTAATTTTAAACCTCATCAGTGCAAAGAGATGACGTCAGTAGGAGAAGAAAAATCAGTAGATAGCGAGGAGTCGTAAACATACCTTAATTAATACAATTTCGATTAGAGGCTGTCAATAAATAAAATTAATTTGGATCATTTCTGAAACCCTTAAAATACGTTGACAGATTTATTCGAAAAATTACTGCCTCAAAGGTGAAAACCATTTGAAAGCACAAAGGCAAAAATCGAAATCTAAACAAATGGAAACTGATTCTATAGTTAAACGGTCAATGAGCAACAAACGGTGGGTAGAATGCACAATACTCTGTGCGGTCAAGTTCAACTATACACAAAGTCACGTGAAAGGGACGATGTGACCAGTAATGTGATGACGCGAGGGACAACAACCTTTGCAATGGCACATACAAGAAACTATTTTGGGCATCTCGGTTTGTCTAAAATGTTGAGCTACGCCTAGTTCAAAATGGAAAGCTCATAAATTTAGTTGTATAATAACAATATACTTTATGAGTCGTAATAGTAATACGACTGTGGAAGAAATGTTTGGTTGTCACCATTTTCAATTTTTTAAACTTGACTGAAATTGAAAATTCTCGATGTCATGCGGTTCTTCGAAGAACTACCATTCTTTGAAACACCTATCCTTGAAACTGAGGACCACGTCATAAATGAATGCCCCAGCTACAACTCCCTCCGGTCCAACCTCTCAGACAACCTTAAAAGCCTCATAATGCTCAAAGAATATGGGGCCATCATGAACTCATTCCATGCAACAGAATTTGGAAAGTACCTCACAGAATCCTTTCACCTTCGAAATCCTCCTGAAAAGAAGTCCTAGTCATCACCTCCCATTTCCTACTCATCGTTATTAACTCATCTCCATGACTTTTTTACTCGTATTTTAATTATTATATTCGATTTTTTTTCGGTGAAATTGTAACGCGGTTAATTTTTAAGATTTTATTTTTATAGCATTCTCTCGATTTTTAGAGTTCTGATCGTCTTTATGAATTGTTCTATATACTTATATAGACGAGTTCGTTAGTGTTCTCCTTGGTCATTTCATGTTTAATTCCTGTTAGTGTTTAATTCCTGTTTAATTCCAAGGAGGATAGTTAAAGATATTGTTAAGAGCAGAGAGCTTTGAGGAAACAGAGAGTTCATTTTAACATCTCTGTTTTGGTTATCAAGGAGTTCAGTTTAACACCTCTGTTTTGGTTATCAGGGAGTTCAGTTTAACACCTCTGTTTTGGCTATAGGAGGATAGTTTAGGAATTATTTAGCACAGAGAGTTTTGGAGGAGCAGAAAGTTTATTTAAACATCTCTGTTTTGGTTATCAGAGAGTTCAATTTAGCACCTCTGTTTTGATTACTAGAAAGATAGTTTAGGAAATTGTTTATAGATTGCTCGGAAGAATGGGAGATTGTTTATACTTTCTGGGTATACTTAGGGTGGAGCTATCGAAGGGACGTTACCCTTTTTTTATTTTTTTTATTTGAAAATTCAATTAATCATTATATATGGACACGTTCATTTGAGTTTGAGGATATTGGTAAACAAAAATGATAGCGTTTTCGAC